CTGTAGTGCTGAGTAGATTCCGCTTTAGTTGAAACAGTTGACCTGGTATCTTTCTTGTTTAAATTGGATCAAGTCTTGTATCTATCTTTTAATTTGACAAGAATCTTCACCTACCCAGGTTTTTTTAGTTAGTTAGATATTTTTTTTAATGGATTCTTAGTCATATTGAGCGATTTACTAATGTCCGGGAAGTGAATTTGAAAGAGCCTGCTTTGGCTAGCTTATCAGCCCTATAGTTACCTGAGATGCAACTCTGTCCAAGTACTTATATGAGTTGGACACTGGCAACAGCCCGAGGGACTGTTAAGGCTGTAGCTGAAGAGTGTACTAGAGATTTGATAGCAAATTAACTATCCGAGATGATTGCACTATTTTTAGCGGGAATCTTATTACTCAGAACCCATTTGATGCATATTTAATTTTTAATACTTCTGCCTGTAAGAGTGTGTATTGAACTTAACAGTTCTATAAAGATTGTAGAGCTCGGTTTCTCTATGAACTTAGAACCCTGTTACTTTCTATGCTCCTAACTATATATAATGTTAATTTAAGTGAAGTTTGTTGCTATCATTTATTTTTTTAATTTTATTTTGCTGCAATAAAAAATAATTGTTTTATATTTATAATCATTTAATTTATTAATCATTAAGCAAAGCATTAATTGAGGTAGCCTATAATTGCTGAAATAACAATGCGACAACTATTGTTGGAAGCAGCAATTAACAGAGAAAGTAACATTTCTGCAACAATTTAAGTTGCTGTGATTACAACATTCTTAAAAGCTTAAAACTACAACATTTGCAACAAATGACATTGTTTTGAAACACAAACTGCCGTGGAAAATATTTAACAAAACATCTTTCAAGCTCGAAATGAGTTGATGATAGCACAATATAACTAAGCACTGAATAACTGAAGATGAATGAATAAAAAGATACATTAAATTCAAATGGAGCTGCATTAAATACATTGGGAAACATTAGTACGATTATTTTTAAAGATGTGACAAAATGTTGCAAATGCTTCACTTTAAATGTTTAATAATGTCACTTTTAAAAAGTTGTCAATTAATCACAAACATTAAAATAAGCTTCACTTCACTATTTACTTCATTAAAATAATTTTGAAGCTACACAAATAGGCGGCATGCTGTGTTCATTTCAACGCAAGGTTTATAGAATGAACGCAAACAGATATATGTATATATTTCGAAATTGTCTTAAGTTAAAATGGTTTAAAGTGGGCAAATAAAAGTCTCCTTTACTCTTGCTCTCTAACATTACTAGTGATTTTATTATTAGGACTAGATTTTAAAGACGGGTTTTGGTCATGGTATGAGCAATATGTCTATTCGTAATAAAAAAAACATTGCTGTCGAATTCTACACAATTTATATATCAAGTCTGACGAAGTACGCTGACAAAAATCTAAAACAATTCTAATCAATTATAAATATTTTCATAAAGAAAATCCACTACTATCGTTGCCACCCTGTCAAATAGATGATCGAAGTAGCTTTGTATTAAAAATGTACTACAAATATGAGAACATTAGAAGTTACCAACTAGATGGCTATTGCATATGGCAACGAGACGTCAAAGTCTATGATCGAGGAGGCCAAACATGTCTTATGTTGTAATCCAAGATAATGAAGACTATTGATAAATGTGATATGATGAGATATGTGGGACTATTTTTGTAGATTACTGTTTCTTAGGCCCCACTTAAGTCTTTAAAAATTTCTAATGCCCAGAAAACGAATTTCTAATTCAGAAAGGCAAACAGATTTGTCGAATATTTATCCCTTTTCAAACCACGAAAGATGGATTGTATTCTGCACCTTTTCAATCAATAATATGAGACCAAATAGAGGTGTTGATTCTTGACAATCAAAGTGGATAAATAAATAGAATTAGCCAAAATTTCACTCTGCATTTCACAGAATCTGCAGAAGTTGGTATTTTTTTACACAGGAAAAACGCTGTGTTGTTCTAAGGACAAGGATAATGTCTTTACGATATTCATGTTGGGGTCGTCAAATAGGCAATCGGAGATAACGATAGAATGAAATAATAGTTTCTGTACACTCTTAAGTAGTTATAGCACTTTTAAGTAATATGCTTCTATTTCCCCATTGATCTTCAGTTTTCACAATCGTTGTTGAAAGGAGTATCAAATAGAGTGAATAAGAATTCAACTTAGGTACTCTATAGTATACTATTCTATTGGAATCTGTAGTCGTGCAAATTTCTGTCTTCTGATTCTTAAACTGTAGCGACTTTCACTGTCGTCTAGTCTGACTAAATTCTTTGTTTGTAGTAAATATTACTTCATATTTTGGTGCAACTCTTAAAGCAATTATGTTACCAAGAAATGCACTTGCAATCCGCAATTTGAACTGCAATTGACTTGCATGTTGAACGGATTTCCGTTCGAAACGTCTTAAATTACAACAATTTTATTATTGAAACTTTAATTGATAATAGAAAACAATATAAGATTAATTGTTGCTACAATTTTTTTTTTATTTATTATTATATATATTTAATTTTCTAACATTTAACGGAAAATTTTAATAATTTTAAATTTTAAAGTTCATCGCGACAATTGAAACCATTTCGCACTGGTTCAATCAAAACCTCAAACGCTAATTGATTTATTGATAAAATAACCAATTTTTTGTATTTTAGCAAGTATTTTTTTCTTGTGATTTTAGTGAAAAATATATTTATAGATACTTTTTTTTTCATAGATACATTTTTGCGAAATTTTGATTGATTTCACTTCAGTGACTTTTCTGCTTTAAACTTGAAGTGGTATCGTAATTTATATCTTTTCGCTACTGTTCCTAATCATTTATTTTGATTTTGATTTATTTTGATTTGTTTGAGTTGTTATTTTGTTTATATGCAATTTGATTGCTTTATTTTATTCACTATTCAACTTTCTACAATTCAAGCTAAATTGTTGTAAACACAAATGGCAAACATAAATAAATAATAAATTGTTATAATATCTGTAATCAATGCTGAGTGTGATTATGCTCTTGAAATCAGTAAATTGAAATACGATAAATTGAATGGAAATCCATAATTCATAAAACTTCAGTTTTCAATTGATTTAATTAGACATTACTCGGCTTTCAGCATACTCATATATTTTTATGAGTATCTTAAGAGTTTCATTTCAATATATGCATATATATAATAAATGGTTTAAGGCATTTTTGTATAATCAATATATGCTCATAAAATTACTTTTAATCTGCTAATACTACTATTAAAATAATTGTAAAAAATATTACTCACACCATGCAATGTCATTGTGAAAAGAAAACCATTCCAACAATAATAACATAATAATTTCAGATTAATTGGGAAATGTGATTTAGGCTTAATACAAAGATGTTTACTCGGCACTTCACTATCCTAAAGATTTTGGATTATCTAAGGCGTTGCTTCAAGAAAAAAATTTTTTTTCGATTATTGTCAGTGCGGCCAACTCTTAATATATATCTTCACAATCCTGAAGATTTTAGATGGTCTGGCATATGCAAACGCATTGCTTCATTAAAATACTATTATTCGGTTATTGTCAGCGAGAACAGTACTTGATACTAGTATATATCAAGTTTCAGTAGATATTTCACACAGTTTCAGTAACAGCTCTGTAGAGTTCATCCCATAGCCATTAGGCTACAACAACCTATTACTGGTTGTCGTAATACTATTCGCAAGAAAGGTGAAAATTTTTTTCCTAGGGCGGTGAAATAACATGGATTATAACTACAATATATATGTTCCATCAATACATATCAGCTATTACTCTATCCAGGGTCGAATAAAATGTATCTAAAAAGTAATTGGTTAAAGATTCGTAACACAAATGAAAAAATGTTGTACGAGTGTGGCGTCGGAGGGTGTTGAAAAAAACTTGACTAATATATATTTCAAGGAAGTTAGATAAATCTAATGAGTAATGAGTCGGAGATATGTTGTTATAAAAAAATATATAACGTATGTCTTAAAAATGATAGACAGATTAAACCAACCCATTTATACTATAATACAAAATCCAGATTATTTTTTCTATTGGAGTTATACGCAGTGAAGGACTAACTGGTTTTTATATCAGTTTTTCTTGAAATATTTTTTAAAATTTAGTTTTATTCGCAATGAAAAAAATATTCTGAATAGTAAATATATTCAGATTCAATATATATCAGCATAAATATTAGTGATATCAATTATTCATGTTCTTACTAAGTTATTAATTGCATTCGTAAGTTTTTTAATAAAAAAATTATAATTATTTTACAAAAATTCTCTTTTTACTTAATTAATAATAATTATACAGGATATCCTTTTTTCGTCATAATTGATTTTAAAAGTTATATAAAATTAATTTTAGTTACAAAAACAATTCTAAAATATAATAAAATACGAAGCACATGAATACATACTTTATAATTTAAGAATATTGATTATTTCACTTTTTGAAATAAAAAAATTTCTAGAAAGGTCTTCAAAAACAATTTTTCTTTTTGATTTTGTTTTTAGTTCAGGCAACTTTTTTTTATTATTTTTTTTTATTTTTCTAATATATCGCTTTTTTGGTGTTGTTAGCTATCACTTTGAGCTTTGTTTATTTCAATGTATGTAATTATAGTCATTTAAGCGTTAAGGGCTTACTTCGTTACTGCTTTATATACAACTGAGTAATAGTAATAACTTCAATTATTTTGATATGCTTTTTTTTATATCACTTAACACCTTAGTATATAATATAGAGCAGTTTTTTTCACTCACAGTTTTTTATCTTTTGAAATTATTAATTATTAAACAAATAATAGTTTTTGAACAAATAATCATCAGAAAATATTTGCTCAACAGTTCTCAACAGCACTTAACAGTTTAGTAAATAATGTAGAACACAGACATTTTGCTGAATATAAACAATTATTTTTATTAAACTTTATTAGAGATTTTTATATATACAAAGTAATATTTAAAACCATTCGGTTTATTAAAATATAAATTTTTTTAAATTAATTTTAACAATGGCACAATGTAAATGTTATTGTTTGATTTATACTGATAACTTCACAATTAACGACGACAGTTGCAGACAGCCTTGTCGTTGCACCAGCCACCTTTGTAACCCAATCTGATGCAGTTGGCAGCACAGGCAGCATGATTAATTCCAAGTTTGGCGATGCTCAAAAGATCGCAAGTAGCACGTTTCTGACGGCTAGGAGCAGCTTCCGCTTCAATAGCAGCATCTCCCAAAGCTTGTGCATCTACATCCAAAAGATCCAATGCAATATCAGCTCCAGCGGCAGGTTGAGCTGAGGTAGTACCACTGTAGAGGCAGGCACATAAAACCACTGCAGCAAGGATGATGAAGGTCTTCATTTTGTATTAAAGTTTTTTTTTAGAAAATTACTTCGAAGCTAAACTTGAAATGTTTTTCACTGAAAGTTCAGTTGATTTCTGATGCTTTACTTGGTACCGACATGGACTATTTATACTGTCATATTCACTCGCTTATATTGTCATATTGACATAGCAGTTGAAAGGGAATTTTTTTACCATATTGTGAACGGGGACTTACGGTTTCTTTTTTGTTGTGATCGTTGCCTTCTTTCAGCTTCTTAAATGCTTAGACTTCCTAAAGCGGACTGTAAGCATGCAAGCTAGGTCTGCTGATAAGAAGGGAAAATCCATAATTCTGTTTAAAAGGTAATAAAGCTTACATGTCAGTATAAAATTTAATCATTTATTATTGAAAGCAAAATTAAGAAACAATAATATAAACGAGATATTTAAAAATGTTTGTTAATGTTTTTATTTCAAATTATTCATCTTGAAACAAATTCTTTTTATTATTGTTATCACTTAAGATTATTAATTAATAATTTTTAAGTTTAATTATGTATAATGTTTATATTACTATCTAAAATTTTATTTTAGCTTTGCAAATAATGCTTTAAATAAATTTGACAAAAAATTTTATTATTGACTGGAATATATTTAAAGTATATACATAAGTAACTACAGTTCTATGAAATACAATTTTTTATTGTTTTGAAATAAATTTTTCAAAAATATTTTTTGCTTGTAATCGAAGAAGATACACCATATAATATTTTAGATAAGATACTTGTGTGTTTAAATGTGAATGTTATAGCAATAATGATGTTGAAAAATTTATAGGTCTCACACCTGCTTTTAAACGCTACAACCAAATCTTGATTATAAATCTACAAATGCAAATAGAAACCATAGATTTGTATCTATACATATAGCACAACTGATATTTAATGACAAAAATAAGTTTTTATGAGTAAAATTTTGAAGTATTGTCTTTATGAGTTTATCTTTGTCATATTCTATGTTTATTTTTTATATAATATATAGTTAAAGCAATTGTATCTTAAAAATCCCACGCCCTTAAATCTCTAAACTTCAAAATGATTTTGTTATCCTGCTATTCTGCAGAAAACTTGTCTACTTTCTGATTGCAATAAATTTATGTTTATAGTATGTTATAGACTGACAACTGTAGTGTTCCAAACAATCATATATAAGCATACAGAAAAATCTGCTCTCATACAAGTACTGGAAACAACTCTATGGATTCGTTCAGAGTAGCGCATATTTACGATCTTCAACACAGCAATTTCTTTCGATAATCAGAGATTTTGTTTTGATATAGAAAATTGTGTATTTGAATTACTTTTTGAATGACTAGTCTTTTAGTCATTGTAAGTGAGTAACAACAAAATTTATTACTACTTTTAAAGATCCTTAGATTAATTTGTTTAATAGATTGGTATACTAAAAATTTAATTGGTTTTCTATCCCGTTTTCTATAGACATTAAAAAGAGTTATACTTGTTATCTTGTTCATAATATTCATATGATTTTATCTTATTCATAATATCACAACCAGCCATTTAAGTGATTTTTGCCACATAAGGCTACCACCCATTATCCTAACCTAGTCTTTAAACGAATTAATATGAATATACGTAAACGCATCAAATATTTGGAAGTATTCAAGTAGTTTATATATCCATTTTGAATCAAATGTAGAAATGTAAATTATTTGAATATTATAAAAACGAAATGCTTGAAGTCATAGAATTTTGTGTATGCTATGCGTCATGATTGATAATCTCAAAGTTAAATGTAGTTATAATTCTCATATGGTTTGTTGATATTTTAACATATTATGCAAACATTAACGAACTGCATGATTGAACTGTTTTGACATATTTAATTTATATACACGTAAAGAATATCTGAGTAATTCTTATGCAACACAGTACAGAAATTGTATAAGTAGATCTATTTCAACTCCCAAACCATTTATTCCAGAATTACATTATTTAAAGATTTATAATAAAAAAAAAGATTTTGTATTCATTTTGTTATATAGAAGAGTAAAGCTTCAAACGGAGTCAGTAGTATTATGTACTGTTTTAATTGGAGTGTAGCGGTCAGTACTTTTTTATTTTCGGTACTTTCGTAGTTTTTTTGGTTTGGCTGTTTGGCTGTTTGGTGTTATGCAAATTTATTTGCGAATATAATTTACACTCATATATTTTATAGATATATTTATGGGTTACGCTCAATTGTTTCATTTATCTGAGTTTTATACTAATTCGTCATACATAAGTGATAATAATTGCTACTAGTCACGTATATCATTTTGTGATTTTTAAAGTAATCACCTTAAAGAGTTATCAAATATTAATAATTTATTTAAGCGTCTATTCTGTAATCGAATAATTACGCAAAAAAAAAAGAAAGCTACAAATATTATTATTTAAATGCTTATTTTGGTTGTGAATTAATACATGAAGTGAGCGAAAAAAACCAATAGGAAGTAGATATATTAACATATGAGTATAATAGCTCTTTAATTAAATTAACTTCTTTTATTGGCAAGAAATTAACTTAAGATTGATTTAGTGGATATATAAAATGGATTTCCACCATGTCCACCATACATGATAGCCACCACTCAGTTTCAGTAAAACCAATTAAGTAGTTATATTAAAAAACGCACAGACTAGTGATTTTTTTATCAAGACTGAGACCTTGCTCTGCGTGCCAGATATCGTCGTCAACATAATCCTGTCCCATCTCTTCACGTTAGGTTTTAACTTTCTGATTGTCGGCAGCCTAAATTGGATTTAAAGTTGTGTTGAGATAAGATTAAATTGATGTATTTAAAAAATATTCCAAATATTAACCCTGGAGATACTGTCAAAAACAGGTTTAAAGTCAATGTAGGTCAAATGTAAGGTAAAAATGATTATAGGTTATGACAAATTTTGAATTTAAAATACAAATTATTTTTAGACATTTTTTTACTAAAATCTGACTAATTGCTTTTAATTAAACATACAAAATTTTTAAAATTATTTTACATTATTATACTATATTTTTAGAATGCTTTAAATCTTTTTTTTAAATCTTTTTAGTTAGTATAGCATATGTCAATCCATTATTTGACAATTCTCTTGATAAATTCCATTAATAAATAAATTTTTTATGTTGTAAATTTAATTATATATTTAAATATAATTATTCCATGTCAATTTGCAACTACATATATATTTATATGTATTTATCTTTTTTCTTTATGGTTTTAAATGCTTATATGCGAATGTATACTCGTATTATAAATTTATTTAGATGTTTTATGTTAGATAATATTTGTGGAATATTATTGGAGCATCAAATAAATTTAAGCAAGCATGAAATATTTCATATATAATTTTTATTCATTATTTTTTTTTCAAATAAAAGATTCGAATCAAAAATACTTTAAAAATGTCAACGATAATTGCACGCATTGGGGCGTATACGCGCCTACATATGATCACGTTTATATCAGAAAAGAATGGAGAAGTAAAATCAACTGATTTACTATTATTAATATATTAAAATAGAATCGAAATATGTCAGTTGATTTAAGAATATATACTATAAATAAATTCGAAGTACTCGATTATCTGGTGGAAGGAAGGCTTGCATCCAGAGTGTAGCCTGGAGAGCCCGAAAACTCCTTACAATTTATCCATAGACGTAATAGTTATTGGGTTAATTAAAATTTGAAACTTTCTGTTAAAAGAAATGTTAATATTTTTACAAAATACAGGTAAATAGTAAATACATTTTATGTTTCTATCAAAAAATTAATATGTGGAGCCCCAAAAATTTATATGCCTTATCGTCACAAGACCGTATTTCAATACTCGAGAAGGATCCTTAATATGCAGACTGATATATTTTAGATATCAGTAGATATTTTTGCAAAATAACGTTAAATGGTAAATCCGTTTTATGTTTCTATCAAAAAATTAATACGTCAAGCCCCAAAAATGTATATGCCTTAGCGCCACCAATTCACTACTTGAGGAGAATCATTATCATGATATCTTTTACTTTAAGAAAATGCATTACTCTTCATAAGAGAGTAATTTTACTTATATTTAAAAAATATTCCTTCATAATTTAATAAGTTGAGGTTAATTATCAAAAATAATAACATTAGTTATCAAAATCAAACACCAATCGATCGTTTAAATTGAACACACTACATCAATACTTATGATCAATTAATATTATAGTTAGTCAGTTGATTAAACTTCTAGATAAACTAATAACAAACACAACTTAGTTCGTTTATTTCTGGTAATCAATTTAAAATTACTTATTTATGTTTCCAGAGACCAAAACAAAACCTAAAAAAATGAAAACAATATTCGAAACCTGGGCCCTTTCATAACACAAAAATTTAAATAATATTAGAAAGATATTTTAAATCATAATAAAATTTATTTTAATAGTTGTATTGACAAATAATTCAATTTGTATAAAAATTAAATGGGCGACTGAAAAATAAAATAACAAAACTATCTAATTTGTTATTTTTATTATATATTTTCATTCAACTTCATTATCACTTTCAAATCCCAAACAATAACTCTTATATATATTTCTCAAATATATGTGCTTCATTGATTAAGCTCTTCAGTTTCTCCGGCAGGAACAAACACCTCCGTTCCTGATATCCCCACATTTAAATCCTCTGGCAATGCATTGAACTACACACGTAGTCAAATTTGGATTTAAGGGATCAAAGCGTCTGCAATTACTCTGACGCTTTTGGCGGATATATGCGAATTTAAATGCGTGGTCCTGCAAGAATAAATCTTCCTCTGGTAATTTGGATTTATCAATTGTTTTATTGGCTTCTATTTCTTGAAGCTGCAATATTGCACAGAGTAAAAATACTAAGAAAAGTAGAACTTTCATTTTGACTACTGAAGATGTATGTACTATCGTAAAGCTAAAGACACACTGAACACTTATAACTGCTCTTTATTTACAATATAAAATAATCATAAGACCTTAAAAAGAGCGGAAAATTTCTAGTGCTTAGGGGATTTTTAAACTTATTAAGTGTAAAAGTATTTAAATATTGTTGCACGGAAAGCTTTATGTATTGAATTTATTTATTTACTTATTTTAAAGGCCTAGTCTATTGCTGAGTTTTACCTTGAGTATTGTTGAGTTTAATTAAATAGAGGAAATGAGATGAGAAAAACCCATCTAGGAAAATACGCAATCAAAATACTTGGAACTAAAAAAATTGTGAAGCAATACTTAATGATATCTACAGACGATCAGTAGAGAAAATAGTCAGGATGTTGTTTAATTCGTTATCATATACAGCAAATAATCAACCCTAACTAAAAAGATTTGGATTTCAATTCTATGTAAATAATGATATATGTTTGGATCTAACAATCTCAAGATATCCCCAACTTTTGCTTGTGGCGAATGTTCATCCAACTTGTGCTGGAAGAAATGTTAGAAAAGTAATTTGTGGGTCAGCAGTAAATATATTAACCGCAATCCAATATATACTATAAATAGAAAAATTAATAGTAGTGAGCTACTCTTCAATTGGGAATATCAACTAAAACTTTGTGTAACACTGAATAAAGTTTAAAGCATATGACTATAGTTGGTCACTGAGACTTTTATTAATCCTGTAGTTAAAATGCAGGATAAAGTGCGAAATATCACACAATTTGAGTGTTGGAAGATGTTTTTCTTCATTATTCGACAAAAAGCGAGCACCTTTACTCAATGTTATCTTTGATCATTTAGAATCGCTGATTTAGATTATACAGATGAATTTGAAGATCTGTTAAATAAATAAACGAAAGTGAAAGCACTAAAATTATAATTAAGAACTATTATACGGTATATAATTTGCGCTATAAAACTTAATTTATATCAATGACTGCTCATGCAAGCAGTTAGTACTCAACTTGACTCTTCAAAATATTGTATATCATTTACCTTCACTTTTATTAACTAAGCGAAGCAGTTAAATAATGTCAACGTTCTTTACTTATTGTGACACCTATTAACATCTTATTTTTGCCGTATATCTTTATAGCATCCTACTATACTTGTAATCACATATCAGTTTTTACTCTGAATGACGTTGTTCTTAATATTCCTGCAGACCAAAAAAAAAAACGAATATAAACTCATTTTGGTAGAGTTTTCACTTCTGATAAAATATTCACTTTTGTCAACAAATAAAACACTTGAATTTATTGAACAATGATTTTATTTATTATGTGTGCCTGTTACAAAGATTTTAGACCACTTCACTCCTTCCAAATCTTATTTGCGACAGTTGCAAACTGCTTTGGAATCGCACCAGCCTCCTCTGTAGCCGAGCACAATGCAATGAGCAGCACAGAGAGTTTCCTTGTAGCCTGTTGGAGCTAATAAATCACAAGTGGCGCGCTTTTGACGATGGTGAGCTACTTCTTCACCTCCTGCTGGCTGAGCTTTGGAGTAGCCAGCAAACAAGATGGCGCACAAAACAACTGCGATAAGGACGAATGAGAGTTTCATTTTGTTGCTGTCCGAATAACTTTCCGTACTGATATTCCAATAAGGAAACAAAGCCTATTTATACTCAAATCGATATTGGAAGTATTGGAGTGGTATATGAGGTAATCATTCAATAGCACGTGCCCAGTAGGCCGCTATGGAGAATATATCTTAAGTGCACTCGACTGTATTTTCAATTAAAATTATGTTGACTCTAGTTGAGATAAGTACATTTATTAATTATTTTTTAAGATTTTTATTAATTTTTAAGTACATATGTCTCACGCTTCTTCAAGTGAATTGATTTTCTTCTCTCTGATACTGTTCTAAAAAATTTTTTATCTATCAATTTCGCTGAAACTGTCATTCATCCACTTATTCGCATTGGAATTATTAAATTTGATTTGTTTTTTTTTTCTTCGGTTATAATAGTGTGATAGAAACTATTTTTACTCAGTGGACTTTAATGTATTAAATCCTGACATTTTGACTATATAGCCTATATAATATGTATAAGATACATATTATATGTGTTAATATATGTATTTTGAAGAGTCCATTAAAAAGTATGGTATCCCAGATGGCAGTTATACTCAGTACAGCATTGCATATGATTTAATAAATCTGAACTAATGAACCGTTGAGTAATTAGATTTCTCAAGTATTATCTTTGTTATTTGAAATTTTTATATTCGGACAAATAGATTGGATAAGAGGTCCTACGACAAATAAGCGATGCAGATCACTATCAATGTTTTACTGCGGGACTACAGACGAAAAGACTTCGATGCGTTGGAGGCCCCTTTTTCACTGACCTGACAGAGATAACGAGAGTAGCTTTGTTGCACCCAATGGTTCAACAAGAATAATACACGAATACAACAATATAACTCTCCTTTTCCACTCGAATTTGAAGGCATTGCCAACAGCTGTCTTCGAATGGAATTCCTGACAGTTGTATCGCCCTTTTAATCCGTATGGTGTTATTGTGTATAATGGGTGGGAAACGAAAATGGATTTGTCAGATCTTCTCAGCTTTATTTGGAGGATCCAATTGCTTAACAAGGATAAAACGTGGAGATAATATTTAACGTAACTTGTCTTAGGCAACATTGTGGGCATTACAACGGACAATAGATGTTCTTGAGTAAAAGTGCTAACAGTTGAATCAGCACACGTGCTCTTACCCCAAGCTCATCTTTTCTGTTTATGAACAGAATATGTACCAGACTGATTTAATCAATTCTGTGTATGAACAGCATATGTACCAGACTGATTTATGAATGATTATGACTGACTTATGACGAATCCGACTTTCGTGCTTTTGGTTTCATTCGGATGAGTTTTGGCATTTAACTGTTAAAGATCATCTTTCAATTCTTAGCTCCTTTCTTGTGGTGGAGCACATCATTCAAGTTCAACTCATAAAATTGAAGTAACTGTCAATGCAGGAATTTCATGCCTGTTGAAGCGGTGTCAGCATTAACCGCAGCGTCGTCAACAGCTTCGTGAAAGACGTCACAATTGTCATGTTGGGCAAATTGGAGCATAACAAAAACTCAAGCATGCGGAAAATGTATTTAAAGTACAACTAATCATAATTGTTGAATATTAATTAAAACATTTTCAAAGTGAAGCTTAAATAGATTTTATGCTTTTTGTGATTTTAACTGCAATTTTGGAAATAATTTAATTTACGTGAGGCGCAAATTTGTTGCGCGCGTCAAAAGAAAGTTCGTCATGCTGAAGCTCAATATGTTTTGTGCTGAGATTTTAACACTAATTTTTGCTTAAATAATAAAAAATTTGAAATGTTGAAATTATTTTATTTATTTTTTTTTTTACAAATGAATAACATTCCAAAAGTGACAATGCGTCAACACAAATTAGCAATGCCTAACGTGTCGCGCAACACTAATGACAAGTTTTATATGAAAAAAGTTCAACTCTTTTTCTAACGTTTAAGTTTTTTAATTGCAATAAATTAGTAAATTTAAATGGTAGAAAGAAGTATCCACAAATACAGGAAGTTAAATGGAAATGTCCAAATAATGGACTCTAAAAACGACTTTCTTACGGTTACCCAAAGCCATAAAGTCGTTGAAGTCGTTGAAGTCGTTGAAGTTGTCGAAGTCGTCGAAGTCGTGTCTATTTAAGTGAAAATGTTACTAACTCATTTGCACTGCTCATAAAATATGTTTTGTTTTTTACGAATTTTCATTTAATTAAATAAAAATTAATTATTATTTTAATCTCTTTTTAAAAATATTATATCTTAAAGCTTGCCAATTCACGTTCCAAATCCGTACTGAAGAGTTTACGCTGTCGTTCTTCCGGACGTTCCAAGTCAAAGTCCAAATCTTCGTATAATCTGAACAATCCCAGCTGCAATGGTGAACCAGTAAATACAAATAACGACGATAAGGTAAGAGTGCCCTAGTTGATCTATGGCAAGTAGCTGGTATGTACTGCAAATCGTTGTGTGTATTTGTGTTTCCGTACCGCAATTCACCAAGTAGCATTATCCGCCGCCACCAACCACCAATAACACCACCAATCTTAATATAAGCAATAATCAATCAAAATGCAAAATAAAAACGAAATCCGCTAATTTTGTGTTCTGTAAGCAATTCACACCTAACTCCATCCAATCCATTGCAAACCGATTTGTTAATAACCCAACTCAATGTTGTCGCTTCAATAATCATAAAATATCAAACTCAAAAATACAGTATAACAATACATTTTTATTAAGATAAAATAAATTATATGTTTAGCTAATAAATATTTTCACACTTTTAATGATGAACATCAACGCAACCTAAAAAAAAAAAATTAATTAAAAATAATTTCAAGAATAACTTTTTTGTTGTGTGACCCTCAGCGCAACTTCAAAATCATATGAAAATGATTCAGTTGCTTTATATATAATCTATTTATCATTTAACAGTCATGGAACATTGGAAAAGTGGAACATCAAATCCGAAATTGAAACGTTTCCTTAGATCATTGGAAAACTGTGCTAAATAAAAGATTGGGTAAAAAGTATATAGTATGGATATATATATAGAGATGGTAGATTTTCTGTACTAGCAGTCAATCCCAATCGAACAGAAGACACTCAGAACTTTGATTGAAGGCCCGAAATGTGTTTCTCAAATGCAATTTGAGAGTTTCCTAATATCACAAGAGGATAAGATATTCCAAATTAGTATTCTTCTCATAGATCAGATCAAAGTTAGACAATCAAAAAACGAAGCGATTAGAGGTTTCATCTCTGTCCCTATGTAAAACCGATAACATATCTTCGCAGACAAAGTCAACTTGTTGATATAGCATGAATATATAGATGGTATGAATAAAAAAATGTGGTTTTAATAAGAGTGAAACCGCTAGTAAAAGCAGATGAATGAGATTAAGCGTTTCTTTCCTATCGTTGGTAAACCAACGTTTTTATAAACAATAAACAATTTTTTTCTATCAGATCTATTCATTCATGTACTTTAAGTATCTTAAGATTGCTTACTGAAACATTGATCTGTCTTTTTCTTGGAGTGCTTTCACCAAATCTACCAATCGTTGCTTTGTATAAACTTATTGTGCCACCATCTTGGGGTACTTTTTTATATATACACCATAACCCTCTTAAATACACAGTCATTTTATTGAAATCTACTACATGATCGATCTTCGAAATGCCATTACAACGTCCACTTATCGGTGTAAATACACATTTTGCCACTTGTTTGGTGTATATTGTTTTCGTATACTCTATCCATCTTTAAACACTATCTAAAGACCCTTCGTTAAGTAATTCACAAAGTCAAATATTTTCCAAGGCCATCTTACTCTTCTCATATGTGCTAAAAGCTGGATTATTTAACTGGATTAATAATAGTAATATACGAAAATAGACGAAATAGCTAGGAACTGCATTAATCAGAGATTTATACAAAGATTATTTGACATATTCATAGAATCTTAAATTTATAGAACTTTATATACTTCAAGAAGTTTCTGCTCGCAATTTGAACAGATTCAGCAAAAATATATATATGCAATACTTGTAGTTGTTTTTTATATACTTTTCAGTAAATCTAAGTCCTAAACAAAATTAAAATACCATATATTGATAAGATCCACAAGTTATATAGAACAAATCAAAAAATCTATTAAATAGTTAGATAAGATTCTCAAATCTCTTTGGAAAAATCCCCAATAAGTTAATAGCAGGAATTTTCAAAATCGAAAAAATAGTATTATCTTTTTTATTTTATTAGTACTTATGTTCCTGATTTTTTTTCGACAATTAGCAACCATAACTTAATCCCTTGTCTTACATGTTTTTGAGTTTCCTTGACTTAGATAAATTTAGTCAAAAAATTATTGAGCCTATTATTATCTTATCTTATAACGATAACTGTGATGATTTTCTTACTATTGGTTCTTAGATCTTTATGAACTATTGGATATATTCTTAGAGGTGGTTTAAGTGATTTCAAATCTCACAGATAGCCGTTTGTTGACTGAGGTATAAATCTCTTATTTCGTTACCACAGAACTTATAAGTAATCTTTTCGTAATCTACGAAACCACAAAAAGTTTCTTTGCTTCCAACCAGAGTGAATATTCCTTCTGTAAGATTGACGAACATTCAGTTATAATAATATTAAATTACACCTTAATGATAAGAGAGATAAATATTGCTTTATATACTTCCACATTTAGTGAATAAAGTTGAAGCTACTGTATCGTTTCAAAATTATTAGGAACTTACGCCACAAGGCCACAAATCTAATTATAGAATTCTGACAAATATTCAAGACCCTCGCAGCAGAGCTACAAGTATTGTTTAAAATACTGTATATTGTTTTGTTATTTCTGACTAATCTTATTATTTTCCTTAGTAATACTTTTAAACTATATAATATAAACACTCAGTTTCGAAATTAATGCCCTTAAAATGCATAAAACACATCATCCATTCCAGAAGTCACATACCTCTTAGTCCGCTATTCCCCTAGAAAAAACGAGTATATAGAAATGAGCTCATGTAATTTT